GTGAACGCGCTTTGCTTCTTCGCCTTCGTTAACTGCTCATTCACAGCAAAAATCGTATCCTTCAGTTTCTGAATCTTGAGTTGATTATCAAACGATTCTTTAGCGTCGGCGATCACTTGGCGAGTCGTTTTGATGCGCTCTTTCACTTCCTTCTCGAATTGCCGCAACACCGACTCGTCAATGGAGAGGGAATCGGACTCGAAGAGAGCACGATGAGAGGGTTTGTTGATGAGATCGGTGTAATTCCGGGAGAGATCCGCGAAAATCCTCACGAGCTTGGAGTTCTCAAGCTTAAGCTTCCGCGCATAGGACGCATACGCCAGCACCAGCGCACGGTGGTCGTCGGCTTGCTTCCGGATCTGGTCCAATCGGGGCTTGAGTGGATCTGATTTCAGCGCCAGCACTGATCTCCTCATCGATCCAACCCCATAAGAACCCGAATCGACTCCCTAACCATAAACCGACACCATTAAATTCAGCAAAACAAGTTCAATTCCATTAAAAAAAAAAAAAAAAAAAAGATTAAGTGTTGTTCCATTTGTTCCTTTGAATGGACGGAATCACAATCTGTAAAATTTTTGAAATGTTACTGTAATCTTATTTCCATCACTAGGGATTCAAAGTATATATTCATGTTTTCAACGAGTTATGGTGCCAAACTTGATGGCTTGAATGAATACCATTAAGTGTAGTCCCTTGGGTTTGGGCATCTCATGTTAGAATCCTTATTTTTATTTATAAAGCATGGCTCTATAGCGGTATTTAGTCGAATTAGCATGATTGTTTACACCATTTGTTTTCTAAATGTTCATCATTTTTTCGTCTTTGGTAGGTATGTTTAATCTTTAAGATATCTCATATGCATAGGTTGCTTGTTATGAAATACTACTCTTTTGGTCTTCTTTAACTACTGAGTTGTTGTTAATATTGGTGGCTCTTCATTTTCAGGTGGTTACAGCAGCGAGAATGGAACCCACTCAAGTCACTGCCAACAGGAAGGTCCAGAGCATCAAATGAAAAATGGTTCAATGGCAAGCAACCTTAGAGGCCAATCTGAGCAGAGTGCTACTTCTCACCCAATGGATTCTGACCAGAGCATCGACATATCAGGAAAAGGCATTGAGAAAACAGCCTCAGTGAACGAATCCAACCTGTCTAAGCCAAAGGGAGATGCTGCATTGGAAACCCGACCTAATATCAATGGTGAGCCTGTTTTTAGTGCTGAAAATTCAACTGCCAGTCCAGCAAAAGATACCAAGAAAGACATGGGCAAGCCTCCAAAACCTCAAGCCCCTCATCCTGATGGCGCCCTTAACTTCCTTCATATGCCTTGTGTTTCAACAACAGGCAATGGTCCAAATGGCAAAACCATTAATGGTTTCCTGTACAAATATACAAAAACAGAGGTCAGCATCATCTGTGTCTGCCATGGAAGCTCATTCTCACCAGCTGAGTTCGTGCAGCATGCTGGAGGTACCGATGTATCTCATCCCTTAAAACATATTACCGTGATCCCCTCTGCTTTCTGATTATACAACAAAGCCAGTGAATTCTAATTGTTTCGGCTGATCTTTAGTATTCCGTGCGAACAGAGTTTTGAATAGGAAAGATGAAGTGATAGGTCTAATGGGATGTGTAGTTTCTTTTTTCCTTTTTTGCCTTTGATGACTGAAGCTCCTTATTCGCAAGTGTATGGAGGAGGTTCTAATGGCTTTATACTCTCTAACTCCATTAACAGACTGAAATTTCAGATTATGTTTTTTTGTAAAAAATATATGTATGTATATTTAAAATAAAATAAAATAATGTTTTACATGATGAATTGTATTGTTACAAACTGTATATTAAAAATATAATATATTTTATAAATTTATTAAAATATTTTTAATAAAATCATATAAAAAATAGTTTATTAAGAGTATTTTAATAAATTCATAAGGTAAATAGTATTTGTAATGTATAATTTATCCTATAAACATGAAGTGTTTTTAAAATATTATAATTATAATATTATATGATATTATAAAGTAATAACATAATATATTATTATATAATTAATTTTTTTATTAAAAAATTTTACATGTAATATTATATATATTTATTAGTTTAATATCAAATCATATTCATTTAATATTATATTATAATTATAAATTTATAATTATATATTACGTTATAACCATCCCCAATTATATTTTCACTGAATTGGTCTTCCTTCTTTCCTGATTTCTTTCCTATTGACTAACGATTTCTCATGCTCAATTCCTCAACAAGGTTACCCCCCCGTTGGGTGAGCGCAAGTGGTCGCACTTACCTCCAAAAGGGTCCATCCCCAAAGGTCCGGTGTTCGAACCTTCTTGGGGCTTCCCCACTGCCTTGTCCCAGCCGCACCCCCACACCCACACTATTTCCGCCCATGTAAAAATCTCAACCATTCATATTGAAAAAAGGACTGGTTAAGATTTTAATAAGTAATATGTGATCATATATATTTATTTTTAAATTAATTTAATATAATTAATTAATTATATAAAATTTAATACTATTAAATATATATTGATAAATAAATTTTTTTAAAGAGTTATCAATGTTAAATCAATAACAAAATTAATATATATAATCTATATTAAGAACAATTCTAATTTGGTTATAACGATGAGTTTTAGAATGAATCTCCAAAAAAAATTTAAAAAGAGGACTTGCATATATTATATATAAAGAAAAAGGAAAATTAAGATGGTTTGATAAAATAATGTCCCACACATATTTAATAATTATAATTAAATATTTTAACATTTTTAATGTCAAGATATCTTATTTTTTCTTTTCCTTATACATATAAGATAGATTGACTCATATATAAATCTTACACACTACACTTATATAAAACATAAGAAATGATTTTGAGACAACATTTTTGTCCTATTTTTTTGTACAACTTAACGTGTCATTTACATGATTGATTCTTTTTATTCACGTGAATCTCGTGATATTGAATGCATCCACTAATTTAATGACATGTGAAAGTTGTATAAAAATGCGGTATAAAAAAATTGTCCCAATAACATTACTCATAAAATATTGATTATTTATTATTTTACTTTTAATAGTTAAAATTTATTTAAATAAAAATAATAATCATCTTTAATAAATAAAAATAAATTTTAACTTTTAAAAATAAAAAAATATATATTGAGGTTTTATATAAATATAATATATAAAATTTATATATAAATAGATATGTATATACACGGTAGGAGGGGTGTTTGAATCATCTTTTTACGGAGAATGAAAACATGTAATATTAACCTGTATGAAATGAATAGACATGGGGAGCGGGGAAAAGGGCAAGGTCAGTAACACTCTGGTTAGAGTGGGCAGAATGATCCAGTGGTGACTATGACCTTTGATGCAGGTAAAAAGGCAAAGCATGGGAACAAAGTTTTTCTAAGAAAATGAATCAATCTAATAACAAAACAAAGGGGTTAATCATATGAGTAAGCAAAGAATTAATTTGCACCAGAAGAGACCACCTTCTTATGCAGATTTCCATTCCCAACGACATAGCATTACTCTTGAACCCCCACCACTCCTCTTCAGGGATTGATTTACCACTGGCTGCAAATTATATCCTTCTTTCAATGGAATGTTATAACTTAGACTTCTTTTTCTTTCTTTTTTTTAAGTTTAGTATTTAGAGTCTGATTTAGATTTTTTTTTTAAGGTTTAGTTAAAAGTGTTAAGCTTTACTTTTTCTATTTCAGAATAACTGTCATTATTTGAATTTGAATTTATCTCAAATTAACTATAGTTTTTTCATTTTTTAAGGTACATAAATATTTTTTTTATTTTAACCATATCATTATCCATTTACTTTAATTAATTATCCAATCCCAAATGATCTCTCTTTATCTTTTATTTTTTTAGGGTATTATAAATAAATACAAATGACACTGATAAATACAAATATTATTTTTAAATCCTTAATTTGGGAGAAAAGTCAAAAAATGACAGTTAATTTGGAATAAAAGAAGTATAATTTTTAAAGTTTAGTGTTAAGTGGCTAACAACTAAGTAGCTTAATGGTAATATCCTTCTAATGAAAATAAGAAATATTAAACTTGAGTGGCATGACATGCAATGCAAGTGGGTTAAAGAATGGAATAGGATTGTCTCATATTGTACAATCTAAGATATATATATATATATAAAGTTTAGTGTTAAATGTTAGATTTTTAATTTAGGGTTTATATTATTAGAGTTTAGCGTTTAATATTTCAAATTTAGAGTTTAATAATTTAGAAATTAAAAATGGTTAGACTTAAATTAAAGTTAAAAATTATAAGAATATTATAATTGTAATAGTATGTTGTATTATAAGTTCACAACTTAATGTGTCCTTATATATAATTGACTCATTTATTTAGAGTCCACTCCTGATAATATATATATATATATATATATCCACTTTTTTGATGTCACTTCATGATTATAAATTTGAAATTTTACATAACATTATAATTATACTATTGTTATAAAAATTACAAGATCTAAAGAATAAAAATAACAACGAAAAAGCGTTTTATAAGTTAGATTGTTGCAATCCAACTTATGAATTTACTAAAATATCTTTAATAAAATAATTTATTATTTTATTATTTTATTAAAGGTAATTTAATAAGTTTAATACCTAAACTGCATTTTTAATAAGACAGTCCAATCTATAAAATATAACTCGCAAATAACAAATCCCTTAATGGTTGTGACTTAAAAAACTTCTGAACCCTACAAGAACAGATAGGAGATCAAGTAAGGTTCTATTCTCTACAATTTCTTAATCCTTTTTCCTATGATCTCTATATCTACTCTTAATCCTTTCTTACAAATCGATTTCTATTAAGTGTTTGATTCAAAGCCCAAAGGGTTTTGATTATTTATAAAGATTCGATTTTTTTGCGGCTTAATTCTCATTTTGGGTATGCATCTGTTCCAATCACTTTTACTTAAATTCTAAAGCCCTGGAAACTAAATCGAAGTTTGTACCTCAAATTTTGGGTTTTTTCTCCTTTTTCCTGAACTGGTTTTGTATGTCCCGTTAAATGCCTTGTGGTCTTTCTGGTACCTTCTCCATATTAGCTTCTTTCAATGGAATTCGACTTTAGAATCACGATGATAGACACTAGGAATACAGTGCAAGCAAAACTTTACATTCCGTGTAACCATAGTAGTCAAACAATACTGTTCAAGATCAGCGTAATAGTGATGGCATGAAACAACCATAGTAGTTACAATAGGTATCACTGAAAGGCCAGAAATGTAGCAATAATAGGTAACTCAAGGAAATTTCGTCCTGTATACATCATTTTCTATTACATTTGCCTTTATGAATCGATGTAAAAAATCCGATAATCGTCTCTTCCTTTTGAACTTTAAATTGTTTCAACCTGCAAAACGTTTAGTCAATATTCAAACCAGTCTAATTGCGTAATTGAAGTTAATTACATTGAAACAACAGGAAAAAATAAAATAAAATCTCACCAGAGATGGAGAAGATGAAAAACATCAAAGGAAAGGGCGGCCTGTATGGGAAGCAGTGAAAGTAGCGTCACTCTCAGGAACCACACGAAATCCATCAACCCCATCCTCGACTCTAAAATCGGAAATGAATCTGAGTCTCCCTTCATTGAAGCCATACAACTTTTTCATCACTCTCACAGCCACATACTCCTCATAAGACTCCACATGCAGAAATTCAAACCTAGAGGCAAATTTCATCAACTTCAGAAGCACAGATGTCATTTTATGAACTGCGTTCTTGTAAATCTTGATCTGAATCTCCTTCAGGTCAATATCATTCTTGATGAACATGTATTTCCATGGCCTCTGAAGTAAAGTCCATGGAATATACAGATTCCTCAAGTTTGGTTTCATCTTAAAGCAAAGCCTGTTACTCCAGAAAATCTTCTTATTCTTTTCCTGTTCCTTCACCAGAAATTTCATCCTATGCATGAGAATCTTCCAGTCCCTCAAACACGTAGCAAGCTCCCTCACCACGGCTCTGCTTTGGAACTCCACACTCTCATTCAACAGAGAATCAGCCTTTTTAGGCAAACGCCTATAGATTTTCCTCAGTTCTTTCCTCAATTGTTTCCTCAATTGATCTTTCCAGTCATCAAGCATCTTTGACTCATCAAGTTCCATTCTGTTCTGTTTGAGAAAATTAGATGTTAAAGAACACATGCAGCCAGATACAGCAATTCAGAGAAGTACAGATAATAAAGAATTAATTCAAAGAAAGTATCTAGACAAGACACAGAAAATTTGCTTCTGAAACTTAATGAATCGATTAATCTTAACTGCAGAATTCATTTTAGATCAAACAGAAACAAAACTCAATGCCAAAGCAGAACAGCAAAAAGATAATATTCAAAGGCACAAACATGGAGAAATCCAATGGAAGATAACTCACTGACAAAAAGAGTCAAACTTGGGCTCACTTGTCAATCAATATATATTGTTTATCAAACAGGATTCATTTTGACATGATTATCTTGCTTGCAATGAACCTATGGTCAAACAGTCACCAAATGCAGACTTCAAAAATTGGTCAATCTCCAAATTCATGAAATAGAGATATAACTCAAACCATATAACAAACCTTGATAGAATAAATGGAGAACACCTAACTGGTTTTATTAAGTTCTCTACCTAGAGATACATTTA